AGAACACTCCCTAACACCATACACAAAAATAAACTCAAAATGGATCAGAGACCTAAATGTAAGACCGGACACTATAAAACTCTTAGAGGAAAACATAGGAAGAACACTCTTTGACATAAATCACAGCAAGATCTTTTTTGATCCACCTCCTAGAGTAATAGAAGTAAAAACAAAAATAAACAAATGGGACCTAATGAAACTTCAAAGCCTTTTCACAGCAAAGGAAACCATAAATGAGACCAAAAGACAGCCCTCAGAATGGGAGAAAATATTTGCAAATGAATCAATGGACAAAGGATTAATCTCAAAAATATATAAACAGCTCATGCAGCTCAATATTAAAGAAACAAACAACCCAATCCAAAACTGGGCAGAAGACCTAAATAGACATTTCTCCAAAGAAGACATACAGATGGCCAAGAAGCACATGAAAAGCTGCTCAACATCACTAATTATTAGAGAAATGCAAATCAAAACTACAATGAGGTATCAGCTCACATCAGTTAGAATGGGCAGCATCAGAAAATCTACAAACAACAAATGCTGGAGAGGGTGTGGAGAAAAGGGGACCCTCTTGCACTGCTGGTGGGACTGTAAATTGATGCAGCCACTATGGAGAACAGTATGGAGGTTCCTTAAAAAACTAAAACTAGAATTACCATATGATCCAGCAATCCCACTACTGGGCATATACCCAGAGAAAACCATAATTCAAAAAGACACATGCACCCCAATGTTCATTGCAGCACTATTTACAATAGCCAGGTCATGGAAGCAACCTAAATGCCCATCGGCAGATGAATGAATAAACAAGTTGTGGTACATATATACAATGGAATATTACTCAGCCATAAAAAGGAATGAAATTGAGTCATTTGTTGAGACGTGGATGGATCTAGAGACTGTCATACAGAGCGAAGTAAGTCAGAAAGAGAAAAACAAATATCATATATTAACGCATGTATGTGGAACCTAGAACGATGGTACAGATGAACTGGTTTGCAGGGCAGAAGTTGAGACACAGATGTAGAGAACAAATATATGGACGCCAAGGGGGGAAAACCGCGGTGGGGTGGGGATGGCGGTGTGCTGAATTGGGCGATTGGGGTTGACATGTATACACTGATGTGTATAAAATTGATGACTAATAAGAACCTGCAGTATAAAAAAACAAACAAAAACAACTAATACTAAATTTTCTTTGGGTTATTTGTATGGAAATATGTTAATATAAATGTTTCAGACATTACATGAAATTTCTAAAAATCTTATATGTTCTGGTATAATGTTATAAGTCATTATTCTAGTTATTACTTTAAAATATGTATCTCAGAAATAACTAAATTTCCTTGTCAATTGCATTATTATGAACTTTCACCAGATCTTTAACCACGGTCATTTTGAAGTCTTTTGTCATTTGCAGACAGTTCTGGGTGTACTCTGATGCTTTTGCAAAAATGTTCCTATAAAAGGGTTTCATCTTCAAGGAATTCATGGAAAAGACTCTGACAAGCACAGGTTTCTGGTAACTGACTATACTGCTGAAGTGAATGAATGAGCATTTTCAGAACTCTAATGGAAAACTGATGAATTTATAAAAGTGCTAACAAAAGATCAAGATGAAATAAAAATTAATTACATGGGACTGAGTGAACTGATGAGGATGATTATAATTTTTGTGACTTTCTGCTTGAATAAAAAAAAAATCCCACAGAGACTCAGAGGCAAAAAATATACAAATCAATTTTCACTGCAAAGTAAAGGAGCTGTTACAGTGGAGGATTACTGGAGTGAATGTCAATATTATGACATAGTGTGAGTGTGTTTCGTGTTTGGTAATTGCAATCATTGTTGCTTTTGTTGTGGCCATCCATTTACAATGCTTGATGTCAGTTTATTTATCTCTTGTAAAAATAAAATACAGGGTGTGTATGCGAAAAAAAAAAGTATAAAAAAAACTAAAAAAAAATTATTTGAGGATATAATCCAATGAAATGATTAAGACATTCAAGAAAGTGGAAGATTTGGAATCCTTAACAATGCAACACACATCGGAGTTCAATTAAAAACAACAAAAATAAAAGTCTCAGATAGCTGTGCTCAGAAAGCTATATATTAGTGAAAATTGGAACAAAAATCCCAATTCTTCAAGGAAAAGAATGTTTTCAAAAAGTGAGGAATTTGCATTCATCCAATACTGCATTTAAGCTAGGAAATTTTGATGATCAACATGCTATTTCTGTTTTTAAAAAGTAACTATAAAGTTTGAAACAAGGTGTAGAACATGGCCACCCAAATATAAAGTAAAATGAACTCTGGTATCACTTTAAATAAAAATCTGAGCATGATTTACAGTGTAAGAGAAGAGAGCTTTTCCTCCTGGTACACAGGTTTCATGTCACAGAATTATATTTCCAAACTTTCAATGAGTGCAACTGAACTACTTAGTTCCACACTAATTATTTCCTAATCATAATAGTAACAATAACAAACACTTATTTAACACTTAATATATGTCTTATTCTAAGCTTTTTAGATTTATTAGCCAGTTTAGTCCTTTCAACAACAGCACAGTAAAGTGACTTGCCCAAGGTCACACACTGGTTGGTGAAGCCATTCTGGCTCTAGAATCCTTGCTCTTAAAAATAGGCTATGCGGGCTTCCCTGGCGCAGTGGTTGAGAGTCCGCCTGCCGATGCAGGGAACGCGGGTTCGTGCCCCGGTCCAGGAAGATCCCACATGCCGCGGAGCGGCTGGGCCCGTGGGCCATGGCCGCTGAGCCTGCGTGTCCGGAGCCTGTGCTCCGCAACTGGAGAGGCCGCAGCAGTGAGAGGCCCGCGTACCGCAAAAAAACAAACAAACAAAAAAAATAGGCTATGCTGCGCCTCGTGATGCTCTTTGTTAACTTACAGTTCTTAGAATCAACCTATCCACCTAAAACAAGAAGGCACAGCAACAGTTATAAAACAGAATACAAATTATATATTAATAGAACTTAATGTAGAAATGATGATTAACCAAAGTAAGGAGAAGGGGAGGAATGTGTAGGTGAGTTATTTTTCTTATCCTTTTACATAGGAGTAACTTTCTATGTAACAGAAGCATAATACAGAAATTTCTATATAATAGAAAATCAACAATAAACTACATATATGCAGTATAAAATAATAATATAAAAACCAGCAGGGAGGAGAGAGATAATGAACTTGAGCTAAATTCCTCATATTTCACAGCAAGTATGATGGTTAATTTAATGGATATACAGCAGCTGTCAATAGATATTGTCTAATTTTAATTTAAATGTAATATATAACTTGTATGGTAACTCAGAAAATCTAAAAACAGAAAAATTCAAGTTGCTATATTAAGAAATAGCAATATAAGCAAATTATTCAGAACTTTGGGAGGAAGAGCAGAAAAACTAAAAATAGAAAAGGAGACAGACTGGGGAAAGGGAAGAATCTTTCTTTTTTACCATCCTAATTTTTATTAAAATGATCAGATATTACTTTATTATGAAAAATAATTATATGATACTATTAATAATAGTAATATCCTGTAAAGAAGGGCACAATTGATGAGAGTACCTTTCAGTTCTGGCATCGTAATACAAAAGGACAATAAATGTCACCAGACCATGAAACTCAGTGGGGTACAAAAAGAGGAACAAGGAAAAAATATATATATATAAACATATTACAGAACACTCATGCTCTTTGCAGATTCTTTGATTCCACATCATTATGGGCTAAGTGGCCCATTTTTGTCATATAAACTTCCACAGAGACATTTCATCCACTTTAGACAACTACTGAGCCACACATACTCCAATCCCCAACTTTGCACATTTCATTTAAAGAAAGGACTGTCTAAATTCACACATCGCGGGCAGGATTCTACGCTGGCATAAAGTTTTCAGGGAATAATTTGGTAGTCCTTACTGGAATGTAAAATATGGCCACGCTTTGACCTAACAGTTTCACTTCTCAGAATCTACCATACAGGAACATTCCCAAATGCTCAAAGATAACTTTATACACGGATTTCCAATTAAGCTATTACTGTTTATAACAGAGGAAGACAAAAAACAACCTAAATGCACATTGGTAGATGCAGAATATTTCATTACCATTTAAAAAATGAAATATACATTTATACGAGTGGCACTAAAAGGTATCCGCAACCTTTACAGAGCAAGAAAAAGCAGGATAGAGAATAATATATTAACCAATTTATGTGTGAGATAGATACATGTCATATATTGGTCAGTGTGCAGTGGACTCAGGGTGTGTGGAGGACACAAGCTTTTACTTTGTACATTTTTTGCTTTTGTTTTTGATATTTTACAGCCAGCATGTATTGTTTTTATATTTTAAGAAATCAGAGCATATCTCAACTGTCATATATTCGGGGCTTTAAAAAAAAATCAAAAAGAGAAACGCTCAATGTTTTTCCAGTAGTTCATTCTCAAATCGAAAAGAAGAAAAAAAAATACACTAGAGATAGTACGTTGCAAGTTAGGATTAGCGAAAAGGGTAGCTTCACTGGTTGGGTCATTCTTTAGTGAATCGGGGCAAGAAAATGAGGGCACAAAAACAGTCAAGGCAGAGTTGAGGAGCGAACCCAGGGGCGGCGGGGGACCTGGCAGTCCGGGGACCCGCGCAGGGAGGACGCGGAGGGCGAGGGGGACCGAGGCCCGAACCGGGTCCTGTGTTTGTGGGAAAGAGGTCGGAGGAGCAAAGACCGAAGGGGCGGGAGGACAGAAACCCAGCCTCCATCTAGCGAACCTGTCGGGTGCGGGAGGCGCGGCTGGGGCGACAGCTGGGCGGACAGAGAAGGGTCAGCCCAGGGCGTCCGGGGAGTTCAGACAGCTTGTGAAGCCCGAGAGCCGGGCAAAGCGCCCGGGAAGTCGCGGCGGGGACTGTGGGGCCCGCCCCAGGCCGAAGCCGAGGCCCAGGCCAAGGCCGAGGCCGGGATGCAGGCCGGCGCAGCTCCCAGTACCTTCCCAGGAGAGCTCTCCTCCCGGCTCGCGCTTCAGGAACTTGTACCAGAACGTGTCCACGCGGCCCGGCTCCGCCCCGTCCTGCGCCGCCTCCTCGGCCGCCAGCTCCACCTCCCCGAGCCACAGGCCCGGTTCCTGCAGCGCCAGCGTCCCAGCGCCCGCTGCCGTGCCCGCCGGCTTCAGGCGCACCGCCCCGCGCGGCTCCCAGCGCCCCAGCTCAGGCCGAGACCCCACGACCAGCAGCTCCGGCCCGGCTCCGGCCACCGCGGGCGGCACCACCACCCCGAAGCGGAACCGCATGGCGGCGGGCGGCGCGCTTCCCGGCCTCCAGTCTCCCTGCGACCGGCGGACGCGACCCGAGCGCCAGGCGGCAGCGGCGATTGGGCGGCGGCGCGCGAGGCCTGGACGCGCGAGGCGCGGACGCTGGCAGGAACACGTGCGATGCTGTACCTTTTTTGGGCTGCATCACGCGGCCCAGGAGCCCGAGGATGATCCAGGCCTGGGCCTTTGGCCGCGGGAAGTGGTCAGCTGGGGCCACCATCTGTCTCTCCCGGAGAAGAAGCCTGGCCCTTGCCCGCTGCCTCTTCCAGCGGCTCCGCGGACGGCTGGGGACGCATAGGAAGCAAGGAAAAGGGGTTAGGAAAGGAATAAAACATCTCATAAGCCCCGAGATTTTCCAGTAATCTTTCCAAAAACCTCGAAATTATTTTTGTGAGGGTCATAGGAAGAAGAGAATGGCATATAGAAAGCAGCCTCCACAATAGTGAAGTTGGGGAAAGATCCTGCAGCGCTGTCTGGAGAGCTCCAGACCTTCAACAGGTCACTTAAACTCTCTGGGCCTCAGGTTCTTACCTGTAAACTGAGGGTATAAAATAATGATCTTTAAAGACCCTGCCGGCTCTAAAGTTTTTCTGATTAGTGGAAGAGGCGCCATTCAGAGCCCAGAGCTCAGTGCAAAAACACTGAATACTTTTCCCTTGCCTAGACCAATTTGATGCCTGAAATGACACATGATCACTTTCTTTTTTTGAAAGAGTGTTATAATACTTTAGTACGTATAAAAATGGGTTTAAAGTAAATATTTTCAAGCCTTTCCAAGGTAAAACAAAACCCCAAAACGGTAATTCTATGACTGTAAATACATGACTGACAATTTTTAAATGGCATAAAATAAAGCTTTTTGCTTTGAATTTGCTTTCAGTAAAAGTCAGTAATATTTTTTCAACTTAAAACATCATTCTGTGTCCAGAAACACAGGCTTATAGTTATTTGATCAAAAGAAAACTGTTAGGGGTAGGGCGTGGAGGAGGGGGGCTTTAATTTTGGTCACTACCTTAAGAAAACCACCTGTCCTGTTTACATAATCTGTTACTTTTTGATTCTTTATTAAAATTGTTCTCGTGGTCTTAACATTTCTATATTCATCAGCACTTAACATAGCAATCTTATGTGAACTAAAGACACACAAAGACACGCCTTTACCAGTATTTGAAAGCTTGTGAATAGTGGGGGGAAGTCAAAAAATTTCAGACATTCAGAATATCATAAGTAGAACAGAAAGAAGTACAAAAATGTAAACCATACAAACTCAGTCTCTCTGTGGAACAATTAGTAAACTATTAATACATTTCACTTTTAAATATCGATATTCCACTCAGTGTTTGGTTAGTTGCTAAGCTTAGGGATAAACACAAAGAAAAATGTGAAGACAGCAGGGCTGGCCAAATACAGCTGATTCAGTAGCAAAGCAGACGTTAAATCACAGTGACAAGTGAGTCCGTTTATTCAAATTGCTGCTACAAAATATTCTTAGAGTAATTTTAGGAAAATAAGAGTCATTTGGCCATGCAAGGACCCTGGAAGCTGACAGTTCAGAACTTTCTTGTGTTCTGCCATGCTGCTGTGTTGTGTACTTTCCAAATGGCATTATTCCCATCAGCTCTTTCAAAGGGAATACTGCCCATTCTGTAGATGAGACAATGACAAAAAAGAAAACAATATATTTTTTCAATAGACATTATTTCCTTTTCTCCTCTCTCCTCGTAAAGAAGTTGCATAATTTTAACAGTTGGAAGCACCCTTTTAAGCCCGTAAATAAAATTTATAACAGCTTATTTTATGGCATGCATGGATTTAAATATAGTACGAATGTGACGGCTACATTGCGCCCCAAGTAAAATGCAATTGGAAAGAGAGAAATACCAAAATATAAAAATACATATTTTAAAGTTTCAATCATACTTTGACTGTCAATCATTTTAATTTATTAACTATGATAGTTATAATAGTTATGGAGCCCTTTTTATGTGCCAGATACATGGTTTTCATATTCATATTATCTCATTTAATTCTCTCACCAATTCTATGAGATAACTGCAATTGTTATCCCTATTTTTATATGCGAGAAAACAAGCAAGGAAGGTCCAGTAAACAGCCCACAGCAAGGAAGGGGCAGAGCCAGATGCTAAAAGACACCCATTCATCTTATAGTTAAAGATAAGATAATATAACATAATATTTGATTTCTGATAAGTAAATCATTTACAGAATGCATTTAAATCCCAGCATATTTAAATAAGTTATTCTCCATTAATTCTTAATAAAGAAATGAACTTTCTGTAAATATTTCCTGTGACTAAATTCATGCTTAGGAATGATGGAATAGAAGAATCATAAGTGGCAGTCTAAACTGATCAATGAGATCTGTAAAGACATAAATATCTTGGTATCTAAAGTGGATTTGACCTCAGGTTCTAGAAAATGGTCATTTTTATGCCTTAATATGCCTATCTTGTTGGCAGTAGTAACACAGATTTAAGAAGGCAAGGTGAAAAAATTTACCAATTATTAAGCTGTGTTATTCCCAACTCATTTTCCTTGTTGAGTTCTCTATGTAAGATTTCTTTTACATTTCAATGACTCGGGATATTTATTAAAAGAGATTAGTTATGAAATCCATTTGGGGTCAGATTCTTGATGCTATAATGACAAGCTGAATTTAGAACAAGAATTAGCCCAGCAGAGTAACATAATTCTGATAATAATTTTTAAAAGACCAAACTAATTTGTTGTCATTGAATTTCATTTCTATAGTGCTATCTTGTATATAACTACAATGTATCTTAAAGAATGGGTGATAAGTTCAAATTTAGAGTTTCAGGATCCAATTCAAATGCAAATTCTTTCAAAGCCCCCCCAGGGAAAGCTCTTACTTGGATCGCTGGTAATTTATGTTTTCTGAAGCAATCTTTCACTAGTCAGTGAGTTATCATAAGTCTTTCCTTATAATATTGTGTATGTATCCACACACTCACTGATGTAAAACATATTTCAACCAAGTAGTTTAGGGACCATTATAAGTATTAGTTTATTACTTGTCAGAACATACTGAGTTAAATGTGTCACATATACTATTTCCAATTTCATAGCTTAAAAAAAAATAATAAAAGCAAAACCAGACAAAACATTCCAGGGAGAATTTGAATACAGCTTAGAGATGTTTGCATATTGCAACTGACTTTTTTCTGGCTTGGAAAATTGTAGGTTAGGCTACTTGAAATCTCTTTGAGGATCTGGAGCAATAGAAAGATTTGAGCTATACCAGGCTTTGTTCAAAAATCCCACAACATTTCTCAACTATTTAAAAAATCCATGTCCCTTTTTGGTATATATAAAAATCTTCTTGGGGCTTCCCTGGTAGCGCAGTGGTTGAGAGTCCACCTGCCGATGCAGGGCACACGAGTTCGTGCCCCGGTCCGGGAAGATCCCACATGCCGCGGAGCGGCTGGGCCCGTGGGCCATGGCCGCTGAGCCTGCGCGTCCGGAGCCTGTGCTCCGCAACGGGAGAGGCCACAACACTGAGAGGCCCGCGTACCACAAAAAAAAAAATCTTCTATCTCCAGGAGATTCCAATAATTCGACTTCCCACCCCACACAGTCATAGGGAAGTACTGCATTTTCAGTGCATCAGCAACAGCCAGTTTTGTCATGCATATTTCTCTGTAATTTATATGATCAAAAATGTTGTTAGAAATGCTCCAAGTATAAAATTACAATGAAATGTATGCCTTTTCCAAAGACATTGACTCTGCCCCTCCCCTCAAACATCCCTCCCTCACACATCCCTTCCCACTATCCATATTGTAAGACCCACCTCCCTACACTTCTCAGTTGGAAACCTCTACGCAACAGGTCAGTCGAGCCTGGGCTCTGTTAGGCAATGACCTCAGCTGACTTTTCCTAGGGAAAGTAGTGGGCCAAGCCAGGTGCCCAGACCTTGAGGTTAGAGACACCAGCTTAGAGCGTCCTTCAGTGGTAAAAAGATCCTTCTAGGTCTGGGGTAACTTGAATGGCAGGCTCATTAACACCTTTCTCAAGGAGGGTAGAGGGCCTGATAACTCAACCCTTGGGAATAAAAGAGTCATGGCTGGAAGGGAAGATCTGAAACTCCCAAGGGAACTTTCAAAGAGTTTGAGAAAAAGGAAGGAGGTTAGCTGGAAGCAGAGCTGACTCATTTATCCTTAAATGGAGAATGGAGACTAAAGTGGAGGAGGTGGGCAATTGTTAGTGGGGAGGCAGGCCAGGAGGCAAACCTGAAAGTACTTTTTAAGAATTTGAGCACACTGTAATTGACCCTTTGCTTATTTTTCCTCACCATTGTATGTGTTTGCATTAAGAATAAAAGTACTTTAAACATGAAACCATTTAGGGTGCCTATTTCTAAGATTGGGAGAGGAAGGAAGGCAGAAAGTTGTTTAGAAGACATTCCTTTACTACATCATCAGCTGGACAAAGATCAGGATCCTGGAGAGGAAAGTAAGCATTGGTGGGAGCTATAAAGGAGAAGCCTGAGGTGAAACCCCATCGGCCTTCAAGAGGAAAGAAAGGATAAAGCAGGATCTGAGTAAATGCTCTGGGCCTTCCCCAAATCTCTAGTTCTTACTAGGACCTCAGGAGCTCCCTGGAAATGCAGAAATAAGTTAGAAGGAGGGGGTGTCCTCGTATTTTAATCAATGGAACAAGCCACTTTTTAAAAGATATATACTTGTCCAAGCATGCATTATGGACATTGTCCAAGTATAATTTTCCAGAATGAATCTCTTGCAAATTAAGGAGGGAGCCAGCAGGATGGTAAAGATGGTTCAAAAAGAATTCAAGATGCAATGTATATAGACACTGAAAGACTGCTAGAAGTTTACTAGGTTAAACACAAAATTGATTAATTTCCCACGAGGCAATAAAAATGTGACCTTTGGGTTTATCTATTCTACCACACAGAAATCACTTGCGTCTTTAACAGGTAAACATTTAGAAAATTTAATATATAACTTTGGGAGTAGGGCCCTAATCAATGGTAAACAGTAACATAAATCAAG